TAAGTCACTGCCCAGAACATTTGTGTCTGGCAAAACAGCCTAAAGTTCAAAACTCATATTCAGAATATGACCCCATCTATGTGCCGGAAGGACCTTCCTTTGACTTTCCAACATCCCTAGAAGGTTAGCATCACTTAAGCCCCAGCTCTCCAAGGCCTCTGGCTGCCATTCCTGGCATTTGGGCTCCATATTCAATCCTCTAAGGAGGTTCCAAATTTCATTGTCATTGGTTGTCGCATCACCACCAGGGCCTTCCTGATTAAAGGATGGATTACTTTCATTACTGGGGGTTGTCACAACTAGCAGTTGTGACTTCTCATGGCTATCTCTCTGCATACCCACAGCTGAGAATCTCTGGGAGCTAAGACCATGTCTCCTCTGTGCCAAGGCTGGGCATCATTGCCCTCTGAACAGTCCCTGACCCTTCCTTAGAACTTAGGAAGCACAACCAGGGCAAAGCCTGAATATTGTACCCCTCCCACTCCTCCTCTCCCAGCTCTGAAAGCAAGCAGGCATCCTTCCAGAAAGGCACACCTCTGTTAGTAAGCAGGAATCATGTGACAAGGAAGTTGATAGCTGTGATTTGTGACAGATCTTACTAACCTCATCCTAGAAGGATGGGTCAGGAGATCATCTTACACACTGAGGACAAACTTTAGGACCCAGGACATATATGCTTCCTGCTCCTGGACTGGTTTGGTCTACTTCCTTATCTAAAGCCTGATCCAAAACCACCCATACCCCTTGGAAGTTTGAGAATCAGCAGGGATCCAAGACAGATCAGGACAGGATTCAAGTGGATGCTGTTTGCTCTTTATTATTATTGTTTTCTTGTACAGAAGGAGGCAAAATGTAACAGCTAAACTTAACAATTATAAAAAGAAAGAGAGAGAGAGAAATCAGAAGCAAGTTTGCCTGTTGCCACCAGGCTCCAGTGAAAGGCTGACATATTGAATGTACAGATTTCCCAGCTGACAAGGGTCAACGCATGAACATGAACACAGTTTAAAGTGGTACCAAAATTAATCCATTTCACAGTAATCATTTATATAAGCTTGGTTGCACATATCAGGGTTTCCACTGTCACAAATTCACAATGACAGAGTGAAATAGTAGACGTGTTCACGCCTGGGAAAGTGGCATCTGTGAGGGGAGACGGATTGAGAAGCAAAAGCAGCTGGGGATTTGTCCCAATCCTGAAGATTTGTGTTAATGCTGGGGCTGGGGGTGAGCGCAGGGCAGGCACTGTTCAGCAGTCAGATGTTAGTACAGTGAAACAACTGTTGAGGCATTGAGCTTGAGAGGGTGTGCTATTTGGATATCTTTGTCAGAGAAATTCTTGTTAGAGAGAGACTCGCTGCCCACAGTCTGGAAGGAAAAGCTCCCACATTTGAATATTTGGGGGCGAATGATGGAGCGGCCAGTCTGACAGCGAAGCATCTGCTTTACAGAATATTTAGAAAGATACATCACATTTATTACTTTAAATTGCAGTCTAGTTCACAAACTATGTTATTCACAGGATAAATAAAGGAGTAGAGTGAAAGGCTGCAATATCCAACATCCCTGCGATGGAGACAGAACAAGAAATCACCCTGTACATACAAGAAGTGCTGAACCCCAAAGCTGAAGGCACAGTGAAGGGATCCTTAATATCTTGAGCCTTTTCTTTGAAAAGGGTACTCATTTTAAACTGGATTCCTCTTACACAAAAGACCCTGAACATTGACTAAAGGGAGGAGTATTTCAAATATTTTTATGTAGCCAGAATCACAGCTACTGTGAATTGTCTTAAGTTGTGATTTTCTCAAAGTTCTGAAGCAGTGGGCTTCAAATTAATGAGCTTTCACTGTAGTTGCAAGCAGTCTGATTACAGTACTTTTAATTAGCTAATTATAGTGATTACTACTAGTAGAGTTCAGTGGTGGGGGTGGGGGGCGGGGGCAGGGGCTGTGCTTGTTTCTGAATTGGTGAAGTCCTGAAATGGAGCTTCATTACTTGTCAAGCTGAAAAGCCATCTAGACCAGCAGCTCTGCTGCCAAGATATCCATCTCACCCTCAACTGTGAGTGTCCACACATGAGACAGTGCACATGCACCCTCCTAGAAAGACAGAGCCTCTGTGAATGAGACAGACTCTCTCCATGATCCCTCTCTCAGACAAAAGAACAATCTAGAGGCAGTGTTGCATTTTGTTTTTCTTCTTCTCATGGGATGTTATTTGGTTGTCAAAAGATCAACTCTGGCTGGGGGTTGCGAGGCTCCACCCAGTGGGAAAAAGGAAGCATCCAGCTCTGACTACTTGACAAAGAGACACCTTCCTGTCCTGAATTCTTCATATTCGGGCTACCAAACAGGCAATGTCCAACAGATCAGGCAGACTCCTGTTTTTAGAAGCACCTGAAGGAATTCACACTCATGGCAGTGGGATTGGAAGTTGAAAGAGAGGTCCCCCAGGGCCAAGTGCTCAGCACTACGTCTCCGTCAGCCAGGGCTGGATGCAGCTGTGTGGGTGGTGTGCACATGCCAGCCACCTGTGCACCCCACTCCTGCTCTTGTGCTTTCATTTTGAAAACCAGAGGCAATGGGGAGCAAGGGAGGGAAGGATTTCAATTTTTCTTTTAAAAAATCTTAAAAAGTTTTTGGTTGAAAACAAGTGACAGTCACATTTCAAAAAATTGTTAAAGCCTTTTCGTTTTGAAAAATGATAACATCTACATAACTAGTCCCCCCGTACCCGAAGTCAATAGTCACACATCTTTCCACAAAAAGAAAAAAAAAAAAAAGCATGCCCAGGAGTGTTCAGATTTCTTTCAGCTGCTGACACCCACAGAACAGGAGCCCAGGCCAGGGGCACTATGCCAAAAGGGCGTGGTGTGAGTGAGAGTTGCACAGGGCGGGGGCCTGCAGAATGGAGCTGCTTTGTCTTCTTCCAAAGCCTTTTACCATGAGGCAAATGGTGACAACTTTGCGGGTTGGGCGTCCAATAGTTAATGTCACTTTTCCTTGCTCAGGGCCCTGTCATCAGGCTACCCAGCCCTGGGAGGGGAGGTGACATTTCTCTCTGCAGACCGGATCCCTCCTGGTACAAATATAGCCGCACACCGGCTATTGTTTCAGATAAGCAATGAGAAAAGGCAACATGCACACATAGATACACACACACACACACACACACACACACACACCCCTAGAAGTCCAAAAACAAAAATGTAGCCACAAAGGAGTTAGTATTGTATCAAATCCACCTCCATACAAAGACAAAGTTTGAAAAGATATGCACAGGGCATTCGTAAAAGCCAAACGTGCACCACAAGGGGTGATGCTCGCTGTGTGCTGTACAGTCTTTTGTCTACAGTGTGCTACAAAAACCATCCCAGAGACTGTGGTGCAACCTCACCTGGCGGAACACTATGAAGAGTCTGAACCGAACACCACAGGCTGTATTAAAGCACTGTGGCTCTTCCCACGGCCTGTTCTCAGCCCCTGACCTTGGGCTTCTTCCTGCTTTCTCCCAGTACTGCCCATCCTCAACATGATGCCAAAGGCAGCAGGTATTTCTTCGCAAACACCCTTTGGCTCTGATCAGTGGAGCTCATGTCTGGCTTTGTGCTAAGGAGGCGACATATTGGGATACGATTTTCCTCACCTGCTCCCAGGTCACACTTGGGTACCTACTTGAAGAAATATTGGGAAAGCCAGGGCTAGCCCTGAGCTTTAGGCTTCCTCAGGTCCCCCAACATGGAAAAAGCAGGGGCCTTCTAAGCCAAAAACCCCTTTGTGACGAAGGGCAGGACTGCAATGCTAAAGGTCCAGGGGAGGAAAAGACAAAGAAACGAAAGGTAGAATGCCACCTGCTCAGCATCTCTGGCCAGGGAGCTCTGGGAAGGGAGGATGAGGGAATGGAAAGGGCCAACTGACAGGAGATTGACTCCCTCAGTGGAAATTCAACATCAGAGGCATATGAGGGCCTCAGCTGAGACTGCTCCCTTATAACCTGCATCTTTCTAGAACACTCTTCCTAAGGGAAACCTCCCTGGCTCCCTGGCACTTCAAGCACTTCACAGGTATTTGCTCCGTCAACTTCCAATGAGCCTGTGAAGCAGGGGGAAGGATGGAAAACCCCAGCCACAGGGGTGAGTGGTCCAAGCTGGTGGCCTCACCGGGGTAGGAACACAAGCCTTCTGACTTGAAACACATCCCAGGGCCAGGACTCGAGCAGCCTCCAGAAGTCCTCTGTGGCCTGAAAGCGGGGCCGCATTCAAGGAATGAGTCCCAATGTCTGCCTTACAGAGATGTTTCAACAGAAAGAAGCTTGTCAATTCAGTGGGTTTTAAACTGCTGTGGTTGCCAATAAACCCAGGCTATGCATTCTTGCGCCACACAAAAATTTGCTACATTTTTTAAAGCACCACAGAGGAAAAACGGTTTGGTGCTGAGGTCAGGAGGTTAGAGACAGAAGTAGGGGGAAGTGGTATCAACAGTGTCTTGCAAGGTCACTGACAGTTAAAGAGCAGGTGTCTTCTGCCCCCCTGCTGTCCAAAGCATCACTGAAAACAGACTGGCTTCTGACAACAGCTGAGCAAACCGCAGATAGGCCTTCAACCCCAAGCCATGGGCTTTTCCACAAATAAGTGTTTTAAAAGGGACACCTTAGGACCTTCTCCCCAGGTGGGCACCATCATTAAGGAGAAATTCTTAATCTGAAGTTCAGTTTCAATGCACCATTCACAAAAAGTAGGCTCATGCCAGTGGGTAGTGGTTTGAGCACAGCTGGTCCACATGTCTGGATAGCCAAGCACACTAGAAACTGGATGGCAGAGTCCACGTGGGCCCCTTGGTCAATGTGGAAGAGGAGACTCTGCCACCCAGCCCTCTGGCCCTCATCCTTCACACACCCTGTCCTCCTTCCAGTAGTGTGGGGGAGGGGGATATCACAGATTCATGTGATGAATGAATTTCCCTTGGCCTCCTATGAATGGCCCAGGTGCTAGAGCTTTGTTCTATTGCATTCCTTATTTATTTGTCATAATTTTTTTCATTTTGTTTTCACTCAGTCCTTGTCCCTGTCCTCTAAATGTAAGCAAGGACAGAAAATACAGAACTGTGGAGGGAAAGGGGTGCTGAAAGGCTGGCTTCCCTCCCTTACATCTGTGACCCAGAGCTCCAGACATAGACAGGCTTCCAGCCAGCCCCACAGCCCCCAGGCTGGGCCTGTGAACATTCTGGCCACAATCAACTCAATGAGGTGATTCCTTTGGCATAAGAGAAGCCAGTTCCTGATGGGAAGACAGGATGATGGAGGCTTGGGGGGCATCCCAAAGAGTTGGGCACTTTGGCCTTTGGCTCTTCCTGGGGACTTTGACTCATGCATGGTTCCTACTCCCCCTCCCCACCTGTCTCTGACAACTGACTTCCTAAACTTCGCGATTAGGGAATTATTTGGCAACAAGGAGGCTAAGGCTGTTTTGTGGTGGCACAGTCTTTAAAAAGTTAAAAAGAAAATAGGAGACCTCAGAAACAGGCATTCATCCAGGACAGGGCACAAACGTCCCACTATTTGTCAGTGCCAGGGTTGGTGGCGACTATCTCCTCGTACTTAGGGGGTGGGTCGCTGTAAGACACGCTGGCCTCCTCACTGCTGCTGTCTTGGGGTGCAGTTACCTCCTCATAGGAGGGGGGAGGGGTGGCGCTGGACAGTCTGGAGAGAGAGAGCTCAGGTAGGTAGAGGGTGCTCTCAAGCCGGACTGTGGTCCTGCCCCCCCGACTGGGCCCCAGCACCACCTGGGGGCTGCTCCCTGCCTCTCGGTGCCCAGAAGGCTCCCCTTGGCTGTGTACAGTACCCCGGTACACCATGACCCTGGGGAGGCTGTGCCCAGCACGACTGGCTAGGTACCGGTTCTGAGCATAGGAGGGGTGGTGACGGGTCGCTTTCTGCAGCTGGCACCTCCAGATGATGAACAAGGCGATAACAATCAGCAATGCCACCCCCAGAAGAGGTACCACCACGTACATGGCATCTGAGCTCTGTGAGGGGTCTCGGACTGAGTAGACTGCATTTGGGTACCCCTTCCAGAACTCCATCTGCAAAACAAAACAGGATACTTATGAGAAGCTCAAGTTCCAGGTGGGCTCAGAGTCCTTCAGTAAGTCTAGTGCTTCTTACCTTTCCCCATCTGACTGGTCTCAGAGAGTTACCAGAATGTACTAAGGGCAAATGACAATGCTCTCAACTGAGGAGGACCCCAAAAGAGTCAGGCAATGGGACTGTATAGACTATATCTGTTCCCTGATGGTCCTAGTGGCTATGCCTTAGACTGGGTGGTTTTCCTTGCTTCCGATTCGTCTGCATTACCAGGACTTGTTCTTGCTATTCCTGAGGCAACTTCTACTCCCAGAACCAGCCCCAGGGTGGTACATGCCGTTTTCTCTTTGTTCTCAAACACTTCTTTGACCTCCTCGTAGCTGCAGATCTCCTCCATGCACTCTCGCTCGATGGTGCCCTGGCGCAGCTCCTCCAGGAACTCATTGGCACGAGGGAATCGTTTCAGGACCGAATGGGCATCCTTGGCCTCCAGAAACACTGAAGAGAGAGCTCTACTAAGGCCTGGAATGGGGAGATGCCCAAGGGCTCCTTCAAACCAGGCCCAGCCCAGCAACTGAAGCATAATTATGCAGGGAAACAAGGCTGAGTGAGCAGGCAAGACATCAGGCTTCTGAACAAGGACATGACCAGCCCTTTGTACAAGGGATGGAAGGACTGACATTCTTTTGTGCCATGATACACCTGTCTAGAATATCATGGTCCCAACAAGGCTCAGGCCCCTGGCTACATGGAAGAAAGTGGGAGCCAACTGCCAGGAATGTGCATGTTGCACAGGAACAAGAAAGAATAAGGATTGTGAGGAGATAATCTTCAGTGTCTAAATCTCCAGTTATCTTCTGCATCACCTTGAAAAATGAAAGTTGGAGCAATTGCCATGAGAATGTGTTCTTCTATAAGGCCGATACTGGTGGAACTAATAATACCGGATAATCCTAGAAGACTCCACCAGGGTGGCGTTCCTCCACCTGAATGTCTATCTGTGCCACCACATCATCCAGAATCAATAGTCTTGCTCAAGAAAATGTAATGCAAAGCCAGCCTTGGCTAGATCAGGCAAGTTGGCATACATGGGCCTAAGAGCACCTCTGGGGATGGGAAGTAGAAAGGTTCAAATGCAGAGTGTAAGCCTTTACAGCTGGGGCACAGACTCGCCCTCAAATACTCTCTTTGCGTGGTGGGCATATCTACTTATTCCAGAGAAAGAGAGACCCAGCTACAACCTGGCTGACCAGAATAGCTTGAGCTCTGCACCCACATAAACCTGACCTGAGACTGTAAAGGATGAAAGAAGAGTTGATGTTTGCTCCTGGTGTTCAACTAGAAGTGGGACTTCCTGGTTCCCATGTGAAGCAACTCCCCCTGGATGCCCATTCTGGTATGTCTTTGCCAGCAGGCAGGTACCCTTCCCCAGACCCTATGGCCTGTCACATTAGTGTCACTCAGGAAAGCCGGGGTAGGTACATATCTACAAGTGACATATGTTTCAGAAGGGAGCCAAGGAGTTGAGAGGGCAAAATTGCTACTCAGCCAGCCCCTTGGAACATGGCTCCAGGGCAGGCCACCTGGTTGGAGAGGGGGCAGGGAAGCTGGGAAGGGTTTGAAACCTGACTCATGAGCCCCTAGGCATGGCCCTCCACTGCTCTCCACATGCCTGGACCTGGAAAAACTCACCTGCCATGATGCTCCCTCAGCTCCAGGGTCTCAATTCTCTGGAGTAAGAAAAAAAAGCAAAGCTGCAGTGAAACCACATCTAGAAATTTACAGGGCACCCTCTTGGCTCTGGGATGTGCCTCCCTCCCACTGGCCTGGTCAAAAGGTTGAAGCAGTACCCTGTGGGGTGCATTGTCCTCCGTGTTGCCATCCATAGCTTCTGCTGCTTCTCATTCTGCCTCAAGCTTTTCTCCAGAGACCTCTCCAGGCCCAGGAGGGTCCAGAGCAAACCTTTCAGCGTTTTCCCCCAGGAACATATTCTGAGCATCTATAAAACCTAAGGGTTGACTTTTTTCTTTAAAAAAGAAAAGCTCCTACAGGCTGAGGCTCCTCCTTCCTTGCTCACTTCAATGAATCTTTACAAATTCCAATTGGAAAGGATGTCAGAGACAGATGAGGAAATAAAGCCCAGAGAGACTAGACTCAGGCAAGGTTAAGCAAATCAACAGTGACAGTGGCAGGATCAGAATTTACAACTAATTTTGATCACAATGGTGAGTCACAGATACCTACAATGACAAGCATGTTCCCTGAAAACAAAGCTTAACACGGCATCAACCATCTCAAAAGTAACTGCCCTGCTGGGACTAACCCATGGTAACCTTTGGTGGACACATGTCCTACAGGGTCACATGCTCCATGCACAGCGATGCTGCATTCTTCATATTCCCAGGCATATCTAGAAGGCCCAAACCCAGGTGACTCACTGTGTTCATCTTCACCGGACAAGGAAGTAAGATACCTGGAATCTTCTGGAACCAGGCCTCTCTTCCCTCTTTGTATTAATGCTCACAGCATGGAGTACCAAGATGTGAATTTAGATGACCAACACTAAGACGCTAACTAAGAGTTGCCCCTAGTGTGACCTATTGTCCAAAAGCCTTTCTCCTGCTAAGGAGCTCTCCAGTCACTACCTAAACCATGCTCACAGCACACTGCTTCCTCTGTTTCTCCCCACAACACACACACCCACTCACACACACATTCTGGAGCCCTCGCTGAACTGTTCATATCTGGGAGCAATCACCCCACTGCTTCCCTCCTCAAGCAGAAGCTCTGGTTTTATGACTAACTGAATGCAAGACACATGAACTGCAGAACCCATTGAGCCCTCCTTTCTGCCTAGACTGCCAGGAAGTTCAGTGTCACTATTGCCAGTCAAGCACAGGCACCCTGGAAGCCCGGCTGTTAAGCAAATATGCTTCTGTCCTGTGATATGGTATACAGCTTTCTATTTATGTTTTCAGTGTCTTATTGTGCATTTATAACATGTTTCCTAATCCTTTTGGGAAACAGTATATAATAAAAAATTTAGGCTGGACGTGGTGGCTGGTGCCTGTAATCCCAGCACTTTGGGAGGCTGAGTTGGGCCGATCACTTGAGGTCAGGAGTTTGAGACCAGCCTAGCCAAACTCCTGACCTCAGGTGATCAGTGAAAATCCTGACCTCAGGTGATCAGCCTAGTGAAACCCCATCTCTACTAAAAATACAAAAATTAGCTGGGCACGGTGGTTCACGCCTGTAGTCCCATCTACTTGGGAAGCTGAAATAGGAGAATCGTTTGAACCAGGGAGGAGGAGATTACAGTAAGCAGAGATTGCACAACTGCACTCCAGCCTGGGCTACAGAGCCAGACTGCATCAAAAAAAAAAAAAAAAAAAGGAAAAATAAACAAAGAAAGAAAAGAAAGAAAAAGAAAAGAAGAGAAAAGGAAAGAAAGAAAAGAAAAGAAAAAGAAAATTAAGGGGAAAATAGCAAATCTGACATCCATTTGTGGAAACGCCACGTCAAGGGCTTTCTGTTTTGAGCCCTGCAACAATCCCACTCAAAGCTATCAACATGTGAATTTGTCAACAGATGGGCCTGCCTTGTGAGACAGTTGGCCTTCAGTGTTTGTCAGAACCAAGATGGAATATGATCTCAAAATTCTGCTTGCATTATGGATGGCTGAGATTTCTGTTGTGAGGGTGTGGATGTAGTATGCCTCACAGCAAGGATTTTTTTTTGATTGAAGAAAAATGGCACTGTTGTATCTAGGTTTCAAAAGAATGCATACGGTCTTAACTAATAAGGAAACAGAAAAATATGTTGCACTGCTTATCAAAGGAAACGACAGTGTTTTTTTTTTTTTAAACAAATGTGGAAAAATTACATAATTTATTACATATGTCCACCTTTTGTCCCCCACACAGCTAGCTTTGGTCAAAGGTGACTATATGTCACACCTATCATAGACCTGAGTACATGTTATCCTGACACACCTGCTACAGTCATCAGTTCATTTTTAAGCTTCAATCAAGCCAGGAACCCCCACAAAACAGCAATTAGCAATTCTGTAGCCACCGTCACTGCTGCTGCTGCTGCCTGCCATAAGGCCTCTTCCTCCTCCCTCCCCAAAATGTAGCGCCTGCTTCTTCCCCTATAAATACACCATCAATAGACAGTTACTATGGCAACAATGAGGAAGCAAGCATGAGGGTTCCAAGACAGAGAATGATGCTGCAGCCACACATGTATATGTCCCTCCTGCCCCTGGTGGATACTGTAAAGCTGACAGTAGGCAGAAGGAATTTTTAACCCACTCCCCGCAGGAACCCAGCTGAATCCTGACAGCCTGGAAAGGAAGGAAGGCAGAGAACTGGTCACCACAAAGACCTTGCTTAACTTTACCCTAGACTGAAGCTTCTGAATCTCAGCAGTTTGGGACACAACTCCCAAAGTCCCTCACATGAAGCCTGGTGACCAACAGAGCACCTGGTGTCCCAAGACATGGCCTCCAAAGCACTTCTCCAAACCCTAGACTTTATTTCCATCCCTGAGAACTGATCGCCAGGAAAAGGGTTCCGTGATCTCCAAATCGCATGACTCATCAACCCACCCAGTGACACGGCAACTCCCAAATTATGCTCAAACTCAAACTCTGGGGGCCCCTTGTCCCCTTCCACTCAGGCCAGCCCTGAAAGTGCCTGTCCTCACTCACCTTCGCTGGACACCAGCGTCCTGACCCAGCAACACTCTTCTCCCGGGGCTTCTCTCCCCGCATCACCTTGGCCCCGCCGGGCCTCTAGATTTTCCCTCCCCAACAATGCCTCACGCCCAGCTCGTTGGCCCTGGACACGGAACCGTGCCCTCGGGACTGGGACACCCAACCCAAATGGCCTCACCGTTCTCCGGGCCCAGGAGGCGGCCGCCCTGTTTGCGCACGCAGCCCGCCACCTCGCTGCTTCGCCTCTTCCAGCAGGGCCCCTGTCCCCGCCCACCTGATCCCCATCGGCCAAGCCCCCCGGCCCAGCCCAGTTGTCTCCTCCCTCCCTCCCTCTCCTCCCCGCTGCCCTCCCACCGCCTTGGACACCCTGTCGCCCGCCCTGCCAGGGCCAAAGTGCTCCTGGAACCCCCGCCCCTTGCAACCGGGCGCCCAGGCCCTATCCATTACCTCGGCACCCCCCTGCCTGCCCCTGGTCTTCTCTAGGGGATCCGCAGCTGCCCGCCCCCCACACCCCGCCGCGCCAGGTCTGGCCTCGCGCCCCGCGTCTCGCCCGCCAAGACCGCAGTGCCCAGATCGCCAGGCCGCGATCGTTGCGCTGCCCAGCGCACCGGATCGCCGGGCCGCCTGGCAGAGGGGAGGAAGGAGGGGTGGGGGCGACAGAGTGGGCCGAGGGGGTTGGGAGAGCGGCGGGGTAAGCTGGGCCGGAGGGGCGGCGGCGCGCACTAAGCACTGCGCGCCCGCGCCCCACTCCGCCGGCGCCGCCCCTGCCCCCGCCCGTGCCGCCGGGGGGCGGGGCCTGACCGGCGGGCCTAGGGCACACAGAGTACCCTTGACCAAAGCCCTGGTCCAGTCATGACCCAAGGAGTGGGCCCTCGGAAGATAGGGCGCAGTAGCGAGCTCGGGCGGCCGCGCCCAAGGCCCGCGCGCCAGGCTTCCCTGAGCAGCCCAACCCCCGTCCTGTCCTCAACCCAGCTCACCTGCCATTCAGGCCCGCCCGGCTCCTGGGGCCGCCGAAAAGAGCGGGGCGCTAGCCTGCAGCCAAGGCCTGCCTTGCCAGGGTTCCACAGTGCCCGCAGAAGAAGGGCCGGGTCGAGGCCGCGTTCTGCCAATGACTGGGTGACCTTGGCTTCTTCACTTACCTACCCCCACCCTGACCCGGGAAGACAGGCTTCTCTCCTGCAAAGTCCGAGAAATGGGTAGAATTCTGCCTCCCTCGTGAGGCTGCAGAGCATTGAGGGAGGAAATGGGTTTGGAAAAGTCTCAGAAGAAGAAATCTTCTGGCATTCAAGGAGCACTAAATGAGGGCTTCTTTGGAGGCCGCATTGTGAGAGATTTAGCATGGCAGGACAAGACGCAGAGCAGAGATGAGACTGGGCGAGAGGAACCACATGACAAGTCGACTGCTAAGAGATGGGCAAGAGGGATCAGAGTGGGCTGAGGTTCTGGGTCTAGGAAAGCCTCCCTCCGAAGAGGGGCCAGGTGCCCCTGCTGAGTTTTCAGGGTTCCTTTCTGTTCTTTGCACCTCTAGAACACGGCTAGGCACTGGGGTTGGCATCCGAATCCTCCCTCCACCCCAAGTGATGCCTTTGATGGGAAGAGTCTCAGAAGGTGTTTCCAGAATCACTCGCACCCCTATCCCAGGTGGGTAATAGCAACCTGCCCTGCCAGGTGGCAGAAGAGAGGTGGGAGAATGCCTTCATAGCCACCGGCCTCCCCTCTAATCCCCAGGGCCCAGCTCCCTAGCTCCCTGGACGCCCACCCCTACGCTTCTCTCCCAGCATGGTGCTTTTCCCTCCATTTCTTCACCCCTGGCTTGTTTGCTATTCCATGGCTGCAGGAATCTTCCTTGTCCATGCAGATCTTCTATTGACCTCCCCCCAAGCCCCCGGAGCCTGTGGGGCAGAGTTCCGCAGGCTCTTCTGGAACTAATCTCCTGAGTTTCCTAGCCCAACAGCATGTTCCCATCCTAATCGTAACACTGCATAGACCACGTACACCCGACTGTTGAAAAGGGAGCTCTTCCAGTATGTGCTCAAGGGTCTATGGCTTCGTCTCTCCTCCTGGCACTCCCAGTTGAGCTTCTGCCTCCAGCAACAGGAGGCTACTTCTACTTCCCTCTGCCCTGAATGCCCTTCCTCCCACTGTGGACCTGGTGCACTTGCATTCATTCTTCCCACACAGTGAACATGACAGCTATACTGTGAGGTCTTGCAGGATCCTCCTCCCACCCCAGTTGACCATTCCACTCTCACTCCTATCTACAGACTATGAACATGGGGCTTCTGTGGATCACAAGTGTGGGGAGGAGGAAGAGCAGTGCCTCCTACTGCCTGCTGCAATTCTTGGCGGTACTACATGACAGGCTCTATTATCTCCAGCAAGTGAATTGACCTCTCTGCATCTCGGTTTCCTTACCTTTCAGATGGGAATGATGCTAACAGTGCCTGCCTCAAAGTGTTGCTAAGCAGGTAATGGAGCTAATCACATAGAGTGTTCCTGGCGCCTCAGTGTGAGCTTAATGCATATCAGCTGTGGCTTGCATCCCCCTACATTTTGTTCATTTGATAGCTCACTTATGTGCACACTTGCCTCCTCTCTCTTGGGGCCAGGGACCTTGTCTCTTCCTGTGTCCCTAGCATCTTGCACAGAGCCTCATCCACAGCTTGTGCCCTCTAGAGCCTTGTAAAGCTGAGGCTGGAGGGGCTGGGGCTGAAATGAGGAGTTGGCATGAGGGTCAGCCTTCAAGTTAGCACCATGAGGGCTTCTATTTTCCCAGTGGACACCAAAGGCAGCTCTGACTGCTGCTTCCTCCCTGTGGGAAGCCTGAGTCATGGGGTATCAGCTTTGTCCATACTCTTCGGTTTCCTCAGTGAGAAGGCTTTCTAACTATCCTCAGGATGGCTCCACACACTGCTGAGAACTGATGATTTTAGATTGTGATGATTTCACATGATTTTAGATTGTGGTCTCAATGGCACCCCCTGCACCAGTATGTTGAAGGCTTGTCCACTGGCTGCACCACCTGGC